TCTATTGCTTTATCTTGTAATGTGTACGAATTTAAAATTAATATGCAGAAATACGAGTGTCTCTATGCTATATCGTACATTGCTGCACTTACTTAACAAAAAAATTTATTAAATCGCAGGTATGCAATACGACGGAAATTTTCTTTCGCACTATTTTTGTTTGTATGAGATGCGATTTATTGCGCGTGTTAAATCAAGTATTGAAACCAATTTCATTTAATTGTCTAATGGTAGATTATGTTTAAAATCGATACATTACTAAGATAAAATATGTAATGCAACGTAATATTCTTCATAATTTTAATTAACACATTGCATAAACAATCAGAAATTGTGGTTCTTTTTTTATGCACGCGTAAAACAATATTTATTTTGTGATTTCATATATGGTAACTTATACATTCAGTCTTGATGATTGAACTAAACATTGCCCTCGTATACTGTAATAAACAAAAACGGACTTATAATTCACACGAACGACAAAGCCACTTATCAATACTGCTGCATTCTTTTGTATAAGGTATAAAATATTGGTATTTTGTACAATCACTGCCCCCAGAATTTTTAAATATTTCATTTCTCATGTGTTATGCTTGAAATCTTCCTTCTGTAAAGTAAAACGGCTTGCCATTTAGTTAAATCACTTTAACATCAATGAGCGAGCGTGCCCATGGGATCCCAGGCGGGTAAAACGATGGGTTCCTGGTTGAATACAGCCATCACATCCGCAGGTACATATTTTTTATCTACGACTGCTTCAAAGACGAAATCGGCGAACCATTCAGTGGACACAACCTGGTAACCCTTCTGTCCGTGATCCTCGCCCCATGAATTCTCTATCCGGAATTTCTTTATCTTACCTTCTCGCTGAAATAGAATATTTAAACATTAGATATAAATAAATATTATTGCTTTAAATGTTTTATTATATACTACTTGTAATACTACTTACGTCTATTGAAACAGCTGTAAAAGCCATTGCGTGTACCATCATAGAATCTCCATAAAGCAATCTATCAGCCTTGGAAAGCCCGATATGAATATCAGTGCCAAACATCAGTTCAAAATTGTAAGCTTTAATATCATGAATACCGTGCTTATCTATTAATCTTTTGTTAACATCGCAACCGAACCAAACAGGTTCGTTATCTTTGATACTTTCGGCACATAGTTTCATTAGCAATTCCACCGGCTGATTATTGTAGCGGGTAGTTTTTCCACCCACGACATTTCCTAGACAATCCACAGTATATAACTTTCCATAAGGATTACCTGGTCGAGGATCGGTTACCAAGCATACTTTATCATTCACATTGTAATATGGTTTCACATAGTTCTCATAAAACTCTAGTGGTGTAATCGGTCCTACACAGTTGTAACTCTTCAATTTGTCATAGTACTCCCATGTAATTTTCTCAGAGGGTACACCCAAACAGATACCAATTATTCGATAAATCACCGTCATCTGCTCACTTATTCGTGTCTTCAACTCCTCGTCGGACGCGCTGTTATCAATCATGTCCCGTAAAGCTTTGGCATATTCTCTCAGCTTACTCTTTAACAGACTGTTCATACGAACGCTAGACTCGCAGCTATATGATTCTGGGAAACATGTCTTTGGCACAACGCCATGTCTGGTTATCAGATTTACAATCATGTCCCATTGTCCACCATCACAAGTAGGATCAGATAATAAGAAATTGACCAAACGGCCTTCAACTGGCTCACCACGTTTTGCAGTGCTTACAATGTTATGCAGAAAATAATTGCAACGTTCTACCTATAAGAGAAATACAGCTGGCTGATGATATTGGAATATATATGAGATGAAACAAAATTGCACAATATTTGAAAAACAACATATACGAACCTTATCCCAGAAAAACAAATAAGCCTGACTAAATTCGAACTCATCTAAATTATGCTGTTTCATGAAATTGGTTCTCATGACGTTTAAGATAGCAAACAGCCAGCATCTGCCAGAATTTTTCTGATTAGTCACTGGTTTACCTTCGGTCTCGATTTTATGGGTGAAAACATGATGGGTCTCCTCCAGGATTTTCCTCGAGGCGCACGCCTCGATGGGATTCGTTTTCGTACAAACATTCTGCGCTAATACGTTGCGATCGTCGGCATAAAATTTCGCACGCAGCTGATCGAGAACATCGGGAGTTAACGAGCCTGTTCAAGAAAGAAAGAAGAGAAACGTTCGGTTAATAAAATTCCGTCTTATTTATGTATCTCGATCTCGCATTGTCGATCGCGTATTACGGCGGACAAAAAAATGCGCTATCATCGTCGTCGAGTAAACATTCGTATTTAAAACGAAGATATCGCGAGCTGATAAACAAGAATTTCGCGAATTGTCGATTTCAAGTTATTAATAACGTTATAACGTTAATAATGCCCGAGGGTGTGGCTTGTATCCCGAGGGGAAAAAAAAATCGAGCATATTCGAAAAGGTTAAGGTTGGTCAGTTACATCCTCGCGTATCGATTCTCGCGTCTAATCCGGAATCTCCTTTCGCGCCGACAAGCGTTTCCACACGTCGAGCGTTTTCCATGGACACAGATCCTCTTTTTCTAATCGTGGCGGATGTGACTTACAGACGACCATTGTAACGAACAGCGAAGAACAGCCAGACGACGCCAAAAACAGCCAACAGAAGTCGAATATATCGCACTGCGGTCCAACTACGTTCGAACTGCAGGTCGGCTGGCTGCGTTTATGGAAACGGCGCACCTCGGCTTTTATCCCGTGATCGATAGACAAAGCAAGATCTATGTCGCTCTATCTCGCTCGCTCCCTCTCCTTTGTGCTTCGCGCCGGGTGACCGAGACCACACGCACCCGTATGATTTTTTTCTGTTCCAGGGACTCTCTGATTACATAACTTTTTCTGGACTGATCAGCGCAACTTCCGACATGCCTGTGGGATATTTTTAAAAAAGAGAGAGAGAGAGAGAGAACCGCGAGAAAATTATATAAAATTATAAATATAGAAAATGATCTCTCTTGTGCATACTTCATCAATCTTAAATACATACTCTGATTTTTTTTTATATTTACTTAACACGCGTGCGATGTTTTAATATTTCCAACTTTTTTCAAGAATTAATTTTACACAAGAAATTACAAAACTCATTAATCATTTATCCTCTATTTTTATTTTTATTTAATAAGTGTATAATTTTTTTACATTTACAAATTTTCATTAAAAATAATTGGATCAGGAAATAAATAATTAGAGAATAATGTATGCTTCTTTGCATAAAAGATTATAATAGATTTTTAGGAGAAAATATGTACATTACAATTTTGTTGAAACTATCTGGGAAATTAGTTTTCTCAAAAGTTATCACAAAATTTCACGCTTAATCAATTGTACTTGAAACTATATTATCAATAATTGTTACATATTTAACTAACTAAGCAGCACTTAAAATTATCACTCCGATCTTTGCAAACTCAGATTTCTACATTGGGTGTCGATGGATATTCTGCTTTCGAATCTAAAGAAAACGGTGGTATTCTGCAATCGAAAGCATATCCATCTTCCCTTTCCATCCTGAACGTTCCCCTGTAAACAATTATTGAACAAGACAATCTGAAATCTTTCTCATTGATAAGAAATTAAGTGAATATACTTACCACATATGACCACTAGGAGTTTGCAAGCTTACGTGACTACTATATTGAAAAGCGGGTAAAGCTTTCGATAAGACAGGTTCCTGGCCCACTACGCCTCTCCCTCTAACAGTTTCCAATGTACCTGACAAGCTGAATATTCTCCATTGTCTTTCGCGCAATTGCACACTCAATTCACCTAAGTTTTCTAATCGGACACAATAACGCCACTGTAAAGCAGAAAACATGATTAAAAATTAATGCGTTCTTTTTTTCCCTAAGTAAAATACGACATTTGGCTTCTCACCAACTCACCCAATAGACAGACGTGGTCTGGCTTTCTCTACAACCCATATAGAACGGTATAACAGTAATGCGAATGTTCTCGGTCGTTTCTCTATGTACATCCGACAATTCAAGCCAAGGATGATTCTTCTTCTGCCATGTTCGGAGAGTTTCTTGCGCCACAAAGCATGGTTCTTTACCTGGATGATAAGTCAGAAATTTATCGAACAATTCGTGTTGCAATGCTGCTTTCTCATTTGTAGTATACGGCAATACATCCTCGTGAGCGACATAATCTAATCCTGGAATAGCATATAAGCTGCGACTGCTCTCATGATTGCCCAGAAAAGTAACCGCTTCTGTTTGAGCACGCTGCAAATAGAATATAGCAAAATTATATGCATGTTTCCATTTTTTTTTTATATAATCATTATAAGATTGTTTCATAAGTTGCATTCTAATGTTTACTGCTGTATTAAACTGCAGTATTAAAAATCTGATATATGTACTACATTTTTAGTACTAACAGTAAATATCGGAATACAACTTTAATATTGCTTACAATGTAAGGACAATCACGTTGATCAATCAAAACTTGATAGAATGTATGTGTTTCTTCTTTCTCGTCAACGTTGTTAAAATTGTTATTATCCTTTCTATAATTAAATATGCATTATTATCTGTATAATATTTAATATATATATTTATATATATTATATAAATATATTAAATATATATAAATAATATATTAATATATATATTTATATATATTTAATTATATATAAATAAACGTACTCATCCTTCTTATTAGATATATCTCTGTCATACACTCTTGCTAGCCAAGGGAATAGAATCACACCTCGATAACCAAAGACTCTGTGCAAAATCAATTGACCTGTTTCGTATTTTCCTTGTAACTTTGGTCTTTCCAGTTTGCCAACTTCTGCTAATCTGCAGAGACATTTATTGCAAATATTATTACCTAATGAAGCATTGTTTTTATAAATGTTATTTTTAACATATTTGTAATTTACACAAAATAGTAAATTATACTAGGCTATTATGCAATTTATAAAAATAGATTTAGTCCAAATTAGCAAGAACAAATAATCACAAAGATATATGAGCAAATATAACAAATTATGCATCTCTAATAAACTAATAAGCAATAGAAATATCATATTCATATTCATTGACATAGATCAATCTCATTTTCATTCATTGAAGAAAATTTGTTTATTAATCTGAGAATAGTCATCATTTTTTTTGCATAAATGATCACTTGGAGTATTTTTTATATCCCAGTTAAAAGTCATTGTTATTCATTACATATTGTAAATTATTGATTGTTCTATAATTTATTAATATCTAAGGATATTATGGATATAAGTTTAATCAACATTTTTTTGAAAAAAAGAAAAGAGAAACCAAGAAAATAATAAATGGAAGAAGGACATTAATTAACTGTGATGTTTCATTTTTTCCACACTTATATAGATGGGGGGAGGGATATAGAAAATACCTCACATGACTATTCTCGGGTTAATGTTATTTGTGTCTTTTATGTCTATTTTTACCAATGTAGATCAATTTTAATCTTAGTTTAATTTACTCATTTTTTTTCTTTTAGAACTAAAAAAAGATAGAAATTAAGTTGATCAAAGATTAATGTTAATCTACGGTATAAAGAAAAAAAATAGATGTTTCATGTAACAACGCAAATTATTTGAATTATAGCAATAGCAAAGTAACGGTAGGAATTCTTCGTCGCCAAAACAATAATGCTGCGCACAAACAAAATGAGGAGAAATTATTGTACGGAAATCAATATAACAGTGACATTTCGCTAAAAAATAAAGTCCTTTTTTGATTGCAGTTAATCATAAAGCGGGAATGCTTGGTGTATAAAGTGCTTGCAGTTAATTCTCGTTTGCTTCGCACGCACCTGATATTCCGCACGTGTTGCAGGCGTGTTGCGGGAGCCTTTAGAAGCGATCGTTTCAAGTTGCAGGCAATGAGATTCCGTACAAGTTCCATGGTTACTCGAGAATTAATCGCCGATGCCAGATACCAGACACAAGCTGGAAGGATTCACATCGCAGAACGAAAAGTCGCGGTCAACCGTCGCTGCCGTGTTGACATGCTACTGACTTTTACGGATCATTTTCAGAATATACCGGAGGTTATACTGTTTATATCGCCAACTAGTTAATGATAAGAGAGGGGAAACAGTGGGAGCAATTGAAAAGATTAGGTATGATTTCAGGGAGAAAGGAGACTACATATCGAATTAGCAATTATTGCGCATGTTGTAGTCTCGATTGACTTGAGTGAAAATTTTTATTTTTCTTTCTTATAGTTAGATTAATTTTAAATGGATCAAGCGCGCGACTCGAATATTTCGTTTCCGATGGTTAAATGTTCATTTCAAGTATGATCGAAAATCATGTAACCTTCGCGAAATTTCCGTACATACGCGAGAGAAGACGTTTCCCATTGGTCGCTGCCGAGTTGTGTATGCGATATATGTATATAAAGCGAGTTTTTTAATTCATCGATTAATAAATCGTATTTTACGTAAATGCAACTTTCGGTACGGTCAAGAGCTTACTACAAGTGCTTTGAAGTATTTTTTGATTGATGATTAGTAAAATTCTTTGTTTTAATTGGACAATCAAACGCTTCGAAGCATCTGTAATGCTACGTTGACCATAGTTTTTGCTCTATAAAAGCAATATTTGCGATTGATCAATCGATGAATTAAAAAATTCATCTATACATAATATTAGAGACTCTTTAATAAGAATTATGATACAAGTTTTTATTAGTTTTTATTAAAATTATACAATATATACATAATGGTGTGTGTGTGTCTCTCTCTCTCTCTCTCTACTACGCTACTACCTAACACATCCTAACTTAAATGTAAACTTTAATGCGTTGAGGAAAACAAATGTGGGATAAGAAAAATTATTAAAAATTGAATATCTTAGATTGTCACCCAAATTATATAATATTATATTATACAAAAATTTGTCATATTTACAAAAATTTCTCATAAAAATGCCAAAAATATAATTCTAGTCTATGGCTATGTATAATGTATTTAAAATTTTATTCTTTTCCATATATTTGAATTTTTAAAAATAATTTTAGATAAAAAAAGATATTAAACATAAACAATTTTATAAATTATGCATTATTTGGACATATAATATAAAAAGATCTATTTGTTAATATCTTTAAAATATTTTCTAATTGTGCCGTTTAAATTAAAAAATAACACGAATATAGGTGGGAATGTTAAAAAATGGCGGACCAATCAAAAATGGCTGTTTTGTGTCGTGACTTTTATGAGAGAATCTCTACATAATACGTGAAAACGCGCAGGCAGACTTCGATTTCGAGATAAATCGCGTGCAAGTGGCGGCAACTTCGCGTCGCGCGACGCGCCGCGCGTCCACCAATAGGCGTCCATCGAGGCGCGAACCGGTGATGTTAGCGACGCGCTCGCCTAGCCTCGCCTCACGTCGCATCCCATCGCATCGCTTTGCATCGCATCGCGCCGCGCCGTCGTGGTCGGCGAACTTCAGGCGATCGAATCGTGCTGTCGCGTCCCTCGGCACGCTTAACCGCGTACCAGAACGAAGTCCCGCCGCTGTTTCTTCGGCCGTACGTTCCGTTCGTGCTTGACCATGCCAAGTGTTTACAGAAAATCGCGTGGATTACGTCGCGGGCGTTACACACGCACTTAATTAAAGGAGAACCAGGCGACTCGCAACCGCGCGGCCTGCGCGCCCGTGCGAGTGCACCCCTTCGGAGAAAGCCGATACACGAGCGGCTTGTCGTTGGACGCATTTGCTTTATTGATATTTTGAGTGTCACAGGCCCTGCGGTGCCTATGCATATCTCCAGGTAACGTTCGACATCTGCGCATCCGCCCGTCCTTTTCCCGCCACGGGTTTCCCGCGAGTTCCTCGCGAGTCTCGTTACGCGAGAATCTTGTTTACGTCGTGGCTTGTATACGTACACGGCGAGCGGACATAACCTCGAAACTGACGGCCTACGACAGTGTTGTCCGTTTCTCCGATAATCAGTACGCTTGTTAACGTGTCGATACGACGTTCAGCAACGGCGTTTTGTCCAGCTCTTATATGCTATTCGCTCGTTCGTAAAATGAAGCGAATCTTCGTCTTGATGTTTCGCGCGAAATATGTTAAGCGTCGTGCAAAGAGTATTTTTTACTAATTATCTGATCATCTGGATTATTATTGGGTCAATGCTTTTATCTTAGATATATCAAAAAACATATAATATTGTACTAACAGTATCTCTAAAATATGTATCGATGTTATATTTTGAACATTAATTTTGTAGCAAATTTTGACTTTCACTTGATATATTACAAATTGTCGAGTAATTTCTTCTGGACTGATTTGTAAATAATACTGTTTAAAGTGTTACATGAATTTCTTAATTTCATATAAATGCAGAAGGAATTTATGTAATTTAAAGCCTTATTTTTAAATATTGCTTTATGAAAAAAGATCATAGTGTCAAATGTTACATATATGTAATATAAGATATCAATGAAGTATTACTTAATGTAGAGATTGTGAAGAAAATAAAATAAAACATTGAAAATATCTAATTTCTTTGTATTTTATAAATCTCTTCAGTCAAATTCTTATGAATTATCTATGAAAAAATGTTATGTTATAGAGTTTGGACTGTGTTCTAGAATACATTGAGGATAAAGAGCTTGGTTATATTTAATTGGTTTATTGACTAGCGACTATGTCTGAAATAATATACCCACAAGGGTGTAGATCAGTCACTGAGGACTTAGGTCCAGATGAGTTAATCAGGAGACTCAAGGTATGATTAGATGGCATATTTGTTGTGATAAGCTGAACATTACTGTACTATATGTAATATTGTAATAATGTAACAAATATATTGTAATAAATATATATAGACACTAGCGCATACACTGCAAGCCATGGGACAAGATGAAGGAATGTACCAGCAATACATACCATTGGCATTACATTTAGCAGAAGAGCACTTTCTGATGCATCAGAGTAAAGACGTACAACTACTAATTGCTTGCTGCATTGCAGATGTCTTAAGAGTTTACGCACCAGAGGCTCCTTATAAAGATGCTGACCAGGTAATATTTGAGTATACTTATAACAATTTATTAAATAATTTATGAATTGACTGAACAAAAATGAATTAACTTAATAAAAATTATGAATCAAATATAATTATAGTAAACGATCTTATTATTATTGATAATATAATTTTGTAGGTCAAAACCATATTCTTATTTCTTATTAAACAACTAGCAGGATTGAAAGATCCTAAAGATCCTGCTTTTAAGAGGTACTTCTACCTACTTGAGAATTTAGCTTATGTTAAATCATTTAACATGTGCTTTGAGTTAGAGGATTGCCAAGAGATTTTTTGTGCATTATTCTCTCTCATGTTCAGAATCGTAAAGTAAGTACATCTGAAGATAAAAAGAAAAATATTAAAATTTTTGCTATGTGATACAATTAATATAATATATTTTTAGTGATGAACATTCTGGCAAAGTTAAAAGTTTCATGCTGGACGTTTTGTGTCCGCTCATTACCGAATCGGACATTGTCAGTAACGAACTTCTGGATATTATACTTTTGAATATTGTAGAGCCAAACAAAACACAGAAAAAGAATGCATACTTGCTCGCTAAAGAGCTGGTGATCAAATGTAGCGATACATTAGAACCATATATTCAAGCGGTGAGTAATGAATTAAAAATTCCTGTTAAAAAATAAAAAATTAGTTCTTTATCACTGAACTTGCTAAAATTATATTGAAACTTTCTTGCTTTTTCTAAATTTCAAATAGTTGTTTTGTTTTAAGTATAACAATGTATAATAATTCAGTTATAAAGAACAGATCCAAGTGTCCCTTCAAAATATATATAAAAAATATGCTAAATTTTTTACAATATCTTGATAGTTTTTCAATCACGTCTTGATATTGGGCAAGGAGGAAAAAAACTTGCAAATTTGCAAGAAAGTATACGATTTAATTTATGAGTTAAATCACATATGTCCGAGTGTCTTGCTGTCCGTCCTGCCGCAACTAGAATGTAAATTAAAATCTTCTTCGGAGAATGAAAGATTGGGCGCCGTGGCATTATTGGCAAGAATGTTCTCCGAAAAGGGCTCGCAATTAGCCGTACAGCATACACAATTATGGAGAGCATTTTTGGGACGATTTAATGACATTAGCGTGTCTATTCGTATTAAATGTGTGCAGTATTCCATGCACTTTTTGCTAAATCATCCTGAATTGAGAAAAGATATCACAGACACATTGAAATTAAGACAGCATGATGCCGATGAGAGTGTCCGTTATGAAGTTGTTATGGCTATAGTGACAACTGCCAGGCGAGATTTCGAAGTTGTCTCAGACAGTGAGGATTTGCTCGAATTTGTCAAAGAAAGGACTTTGGATAAAAAGGTAGAATATTGAATTTAACAAAACTATTTAATGTAAAATTTAACATTTAATTGTATGATTTGAATTTATAATTATCTTTCCAGTTTAAAATACGAAAAGAGGCGATGTCCGGCTTAGCTATGATATATAAGAAACATTTGAACGATGCCGACGTACCGCAGGCTACAAAAAAGGCAGTTATCTGGATAAAAGATAAAATATTACATGGTTATTACATGGCAGGCATGGAAGATAGGTTACTGGTGGAAAGATTGTTAAATACGTGCCTAGTACCTTATCAGTTACCAGCAGAAGAGAGAATGAAAAAATTGTATCACCTCTTAGGTACAATTGATGATCATGCTTCTAAAGCATTCGTGGAACTTCAGAAACATCAATTAGCGTATGTTATACATTATTTGTTTTAATTTATAAATAACTTTAAAAATATCTTTGGTCCAAAATTAATTAATAATATATATATATATATTTAGAGTGCGAAGAGCAGTAGTTGAATGGATAGAAATCGTGAAGAAACCAGATGCTAAGAATGAACTAACAACAAAAATTCATCAAATATCACGTTTTCTACCAGATCCCATGAAAGTGCAAGAGTTTCTTCAAAAATTTAGTTCGCATATGAAGAAAGAAAGTAGATTATTGCAGGAAATGGAAATAATTGTGCAACCGAATGTCTCTTGCAAGGAATGTGCTGAAACGATAACTAAGGTTCTCAAAAAATTAGGACAGCCCGTTATGACTAATCTGTACTATAATACAATTAAAATGTTACTCGAAAGAGTGAGCTCTGTCATGATTGACGAAGAGGCAATTAGAGTAGGCATATCATTTTTAGAATTTATTTCGTTTTATTTTTGTTTGAAGCAACGTTTAACGTTCATATATGTGTGTAAATTAGGTTTTGATCGGATATGTCTTAGACTGTTTGAAGGGAGGAAATGTTATAGAAGAGGTCGGCCTTAATCCGAATAATGCTGGAGAAAAGGGATTAAGATTATTAGTGGTAGGTTAATAACTATTAAGATATTTTAAAAAGTATATACATTCACTTTATATACATTTCTTTAAAAACAAAATATTATGTAATTTTATGACTAAGCAGGTATATTATCCGAAATATTTCAGATGCTTTCATTTGTATTTGGTCCTCATTTTCTGCATAACGATATCTTGATGCAACTGGTCAATTTGCTTGAATTAGAAGACGAGATGGTAGCACCATTAGTTCTATCTATTTTTACGTTCCTGGGTAAATATAAGCCCCTATGCGATGTAGCCCCAGATATAATGAATCTTCTGGTGCCGATATGCAAGAATTTTGCCGAAACGGGAACACCGAAACAGGCGAAGCAAGCTGTGAGATGTTTGTTCGTTAATATAACCAATGTTCACGACACCATCTTTCCCGAAATCATTGAGAGAATTAAGAATACTCTGACACCGACTTCGGAATATTATCGAACATCTATAGTTACATTAGGTCATATAGCGTATAATTTGGCAGACAGATATCAAGTACAAATAAAAAATATGGTATCCAGAAAAGTAAGTGCAATAAAATTATAATGTTAATAAGCTTTTTAATACTTTACAATTGTTATACATGGTATAATCTTCAATCTTGCAGATAGTTAAAGAATTACTAGTGAAAGAAAGCAGCGAGCAAGCTCCTTCTGAGGCTATTGAGGGAGATTGGTGTAGGGAGGATCAATTACCTGAAGAGACACGATGCAGATTGGAAGGCTTAAAATGCATGGCACGTTGGCTATTGGGCTTGAAGACTGACGTGTTATCAGCTCAAAAGACATTCAGAATGTTGAATGCATTCATGGTGAACAAAGGTGATTTACTGTCACAAGGACGTCTAAGCAAAGCTGAAATGAGTTGGTTGCGATTGCAAGCAGGTTGTTCGATGTTAAAGATATGCGAACAAAAAGGCGTCGGCGATCAATTTACTGCAGAACAGTTTTACAATCTGTCACAACTCATGATGGTATGTTTAACACGAATTTCTTTTGTTATAATGAAAAAGAAATTTCAATCGTATTTAACTTATTTCGATACATCGATATTTAGGATGAAGTTCCTCAAGTTAGAGAAGCTTTTGGTAGTAAGCTGCATAAAGGTCTGGGGAGAGGAATTCCAAACAAATGTTTACCATTGGATTTCATGGGATATTATGCTCTAGCTGGCAAGGAACCAGACAGAAGATTAAGATGTGTATTGAAGACATATATGCAAACAGATATAAATAAAAGGAGAGATTATGTGAAGACTCTTTCGTTGGGTACTGTTGAGCGAGCCATGGGTAAGAGATTAAATAGTAAGGAATAGTCGAAATCATCGTTTTGTTTAATTATGTATACATTTATTATTTTACTAAAGTAAACTTACTATTACTTAAACTTATTATTTTAATCTAAACATTTTCGTTATCTTCTAATTTCAACAGATCAATTGCCTCATATTTTACCGGATTACATGCTGGTTTTTGCGGTACCTATTCTCGCACATGATCCCGAATTTACGAGTCACATAATGGTGAGCCAGTTGAAAACTATTCAACAATGTCTTTGGTTCATCTTGGAACCTCTCATTACGAAGAACGAGTATTACTGCTATGGTTTTTACAAAAATCTCGTGGAACGTATGAAGAGCCATAAAGATGCATTAAAACCTGAAGACAACGAGATGAATTATGTAATTATCATGAATTAGATTCGGCTCTTTTTAAGTAATCATAATTAAACAAATTTTTATATTTGTTACATATAGAAATTGTGGGCTGTTTGTGACTTGGCGATGAATGTAATATATACCAAGACTACCAATTTTGATATGAAAGAATTTCCGAGCGAGACGCGAATTCCCACGATGTATTTTAAACGTTCAGACGAAATGATGCACAATCATAAAAATTACTTACCTGCAGAACTACAAGTGAACATGACGGCTCCAAAAGGAAAGGGATCATTCCACAATACACATACAGTCAATGAAAGACCACAACGTAAGGCTAAATCTAAACAACAGAAGGAAGTAGGCATTGGACCTAATGAGACAGATGCAAGGGTAAGATAATTTTTTAAAACAATTTTGTAATTATTTCTCAATAGTTTTAACTCTCTTAGTCTAAACTTGTAATTCAATATAAACAAAATATAAATGATAGGTATTTCGATTGATTAAATAATACTAAGCAAATGTAACAAACATTATTTAAATTTAATTCTTCGAGTATGTATAATTGATTTCAAGCTGCAAGTTGGAGAAGTGGAATGTATCGATGCACAGGTAACTTTGATGTAATATTAGAAGTTGCGTGCTCTTGCCCTTATCTTTAAATATGCTGCTATTTGAATGCAAAAAAATATTAGATTATTTAGATAAATTTATTTACAGCCTGCGGAAGCGTCAGAGACCAGGATTCAACTGCCTGGCTTAGAAGAAGAGGTATGTTCGACAAATTCTTTGACAAATTCTTTAATGCAGCAAAATATCCGAGATTGTATTTTAATTTATATTTTAGATTGAGGAACCGCCAGCGAAGAGGGCATTAAGGGAATCGGATAAAGTAAATAAATAATTCAGTGATCGGACTATACCCGGGGAACACTGGGACGGGGAAAGACTTAAAAAGCACGATGATAAGAAAATTAAAGAATCTAAAAAATACTTTACAAATTAGAAAACAGAATATTTTGGTTATGTATAACGATTAATAAACTTAAGTCGTTCGTGTATTTCTAGAGTGTAAGATGTTAAGAGTATGACACAATAACATCAGGCTTATAATACAAAAAGTCCTTTGAACTTACGATTTGTCAACAAAAAAGGAGAAATAGAACGAAAAGTTTAATTCCTCGCAAATATATATAATTTGCAAAATGTTTGTTTCGTTAATAACGAATTATTAAATATTACATATGCATACTTCTTGTTACTTTCATATGAACGATAAAATCGCATCAAGTAATTTATAATATAATAAAAGAATTCCTTCAAATTGCCATATATGGTCAGAATGACATCTTGTAAATTTAATAACAAACTTTTTCTTGGATCAAAGCTCTTATTCAGCATGACAATTATATTGTTCGACAAAATTTAATTTTTTTTTTTTTCAATGAGCGTGAATAATCATTTGCAATGTATTTTTGCTTGCTTAACATATCTGTTGTCCACAGCAAGCAAAAATACATCGGAAATAACTATTTACACCCGCGTTTGGACAGACACCAAAAAAATGATGTTGGACAGTGTTCACCTTTGCACTACAAAATAGGCATTTTTTTATATCTATTCTATTTCGCGAACATTTAATGAATATTGTCACAGAATTTCTTTGTTGAAAATAATATCAATTTAAACAAGCAAGTATAAATATATCAATATTGTCAACATACTTTATTAATAAATAAAGCGAAAATTACTCTCTGCAAGTGAAATATACCCAGGTATATTAATTGAATCATTACTTTAAACAACAAAGGAGAAATACTATAATTTTGTTGCATAAATGATACATATTAGATAAGACAATGTGTGTTTATTGGCTTTGTGATCTAAAGTTGTTGGTTTTTAACACTATGATTATATCGCTACACTTTAGTCGCGATTATTATGATTGATACAAATTAAGTATGTTCTATATGTAACAATGAAGAGAAAAGAGAATATTGCGAGAATTTGCGAAAACCTTCAACTTTTGTATTTATAAATAAACATAAAATTAAAATTACCGATTGCAAAAGATTATTACGTAATACCTTAATTTATATCGATGTGTATGCAATTTATTACAACTTACATGTGTGTTAAGAGAAGATAAACATGTTTCAATTTTATTTATTAACATTACAAAAAATACTTGGAAAATAGAAATTTTTGGATATGAATTATTGAATGAAATTTTAAATGGGCCTAGGTTTTAAAAGATTTAAGTTTTTAATATATTATAATTATTAAACATTCAACTATCTTAAATTTAAACATGAGTGAAAATTGCGCATGAGTTCATGAATGGTGATGGATGATTGAAATCGTATAAATATTATAGAATTATATCTATTACTTTTTCATAGAAATTACAGTACAATGCACCTTTCAACATAGTAATTTTCTAAATTTATGGAAATGTCATCTTTTTTTATTTTTCTTTTTATTTACAATTATCTCACTATAAATAAAAGTGCTTTACACTATCTATTAATAAACATCTTTATATATACTAATTGGCATTGATATGGGAGAGAGATAAAAATATTTTTCAATTATATGATCATTTCTCTGCATAGTACTGGAATTTTTTCAAATAGATCATAGAAAAGTATACATAATCTGATTAAACAACCAGTTAATCAGTGCTATTCATCTGTCGATCTGTGAGACATATGGTGTATTGTAATGGTTCTATAATAAAAACACACAAATTAAGTAACACATTGCATGCGTGTTTTTAATTATAATTATTCGAATCGCAATACGTATACGCACGCCCGCGTATACGTATATCTTAACGTTTTTTAAAAGATTTTTTTTGGGCCTTTCCTTTCATTGCAACTTTTCTTTTCTGTTGTGTTTTAAATGTACGATGTTTATTTTTAACGTTTGCCCTAAAAAATGAAAGAAATTATTATATCGTAGATTATTTATCATTATTTAGATTTTTAAGAAAAAAATTTGAAACATACTCATATCGCATTCTTTTGACACCCTTTTTGCTCGTGTCTGTTAAGTCAGCAGCAAACGATGATCTTGATCGTTTCAATGATTCTGAAATAATATAATTTATTAAATTAGCAATTCTTTTGATATGCATATGAAATTATACCTTTTTTAGCAAGATCACGGTCATTTTCATCCATAACTACTCTAATTTTCTTCTGTTTGTTATTCTTTTTGGCTAGTCGTGCTTGATAGGCAGCTACCTTTTCTAATTCTTTCTTAGCTCTATCTTCAGCTGTATCCTTTTTAGGTTCACTTTGTGCTTTTTTCTTTTTTTCTTGTACTATGTTGGGAGGTTCATTCTCACGTTTTTTATTTTTGCTAACTTCTTTCCCAGTTAATCGAAGATTTTCTGAAAATTTGATTATAATAGCATATTATTACTTCCTTCTCTCTTTTTCATTAAATAAAATATATCAATGTAAATTGCATTACCTTTTTGTTTCTTTCTTTCTTTTTTGGTTTGGAACCAACTTCTATGAGATTTATTATCTTCTACTGCTAGCAATTTTTCAACACGATTGGCTTCATTTTCTACTTTAGCTAATTCTTTTTCAGCCTTTTCCTCTTGCAAAATCTTTTCTACATCTGGTTCCAAAGATTGTAATTTCTTATTGTATTTCTCTATTATGTCTGACGGTATTATCCTATTCTTAACCGGATTTTTCGCTTGCTTGATAACTTCTTTTACCAAAGAACGTTCTTGTTCTCCCGCTAATGATACAGAAACACCTCCACGTCCTGCTCTTGCAGTTCTTCCCACTCTAATAATTATAAACATAATGTTTTTATTTTATAATTTAAATGTAAACAATGTGTTACTAATTTTATTTCATACCTGTGTATATAATGTTGAAGAGTGGCGGGCATCACAAAATTAATTACAGTCTTTACACCACTTATATCTAAACCTCTTGCAGCGACATCAGTCGCTAACAAAATATCAATTTCCTCATCTTTAAACTTTCGAAGATTCTCTAATCGCTGTGGTTGTGTGAGATTACCATGAAGTTCTCCAACCTTATTATCAATACGAAAAAAGATAACAATATTATATTATTAGATATCTTTCTGTTCTTTTTTATATATAATTGATAACTATTACATCCTTAAGTGATATACTTACTTTCACACCTAATAATCCCAATAAAATATGCAATCTATGAGCTTGTTTCTTCGTTTGTACAAAAACCATGACGTGATCGTGAAAAGTTCGGCAGACTAGTGCTGCTAAAATAGCTTCGCGATCTCCTTCTCTTTCCTTACGTATACTGAAAATCATATTTGTTTAGTAAATAAAATAAAAATCTAAAAAATAATAATTATAAATAATTTAATCACCGAATAAATTCTTGACGTAAATTAAAGGCCACATCTTGATTACTATCCACGAATATCTTGACAGGTTTGTCAAGAGATACTGCAGCTAAATCTTTAACTTCCTCAGTCATAGTAGCAGAGAAGAGGATAGTCTGCCTGGTCCTTGAGCATTGCTTTACAATATATTTCATTTGTTCAGCAAAATATTCATCTAACATTCTTAAATTTAAAAAAATGTTAAACATAATTATTATCATATCAAATCAATTGAAATCAATATTATATTATAAGAATATATTTGTATATTAATTTCACCTATCAGCTTCATCCAGAATTAATACTTCAATACTGTCCAAAGAAAAAGTCGGTGCATTCTTTAAATGATCAATTAATCTTCCTGGTGTTGCTATTACAATATCCGGATTTTTTCTCAATATACCTTCCTACATTATATATAAAAATACATGAAGAATCCTATGTAACAACTTTGTTAATTTATAGAAAAAAATTTATGAAAAATAAAATAATTCACCTGTACTTTTACATCCAATCCACCTACAGACAAACCAACTTCTACTGTTGTAAATTGAGCTAACTGCTTTGTCACTTGATAAACTTGTACTCCCAATTCTCTAGTAGGCACAAGTACAAGAACACGTGAAATAGCAGGCCCATCCAATGGCCTATACAATAATCTTTCCAAAGTAGGAAGCATGTAGGCTGCAGTTTTCCCTGTTCCTGTTGCCGCACAACCACATATATCACGACCCATTAAAGCTACAGGAATAGTGGCAGTTTGTATGGGAGTTGGTTGTACAAAATTCATTGCTGTAATAGCCTAGAAGTTTGTAAAGTTAATTAATCAATTATTATTTATTTCGTTAATAAATTTTATTTTAGACATTAATACAATATATCGTGTGTATTATTTTATTATTAAAATTAATATAATAATATCACATACCTTTAGCAAAGGTCTAGATAAATTCATTTGATAAAACGTAGCATATGCTCGAGAATCCGTATATTCCTCGAAGTCCATAGTTTCCTCATCCTTTTCTTTCACAGATTTTTTCTTTCTACCTTTCTTTTCTTTAGTCTTAAATGTATCTAAAATTAATTATTAATAAGCAAAATAAATATTTATATATTACCTATCTATGGCATATAATATAAATCCATCAAAATTATAATTTCTATAAATTTGTTTTAACTATCTGATACTGTATAAAGTTAATTGTATATACCTTTCTTAAACTCATCCTCAGATAAAGAAATAGTATCATCATTTTGGTCTATTTCTGCTTCAATTTTAACAGGATCATCTTCTGTTCCAGTCTAGTAATCATAATAACAAATATTTTTTCATCATTTCATTAATTTTAACATATTAAATGCTGAATTCACTTATTCTTTCATTTATATAAATCTATTTAAAGTTTACATAAAAATAAAATATTTTTATATAAGTACCTTTTATTTTAAAACATTAATATTAATTACAGTTATATAATAACAAATATTATTATTCACAAGTTTCCTTCATCATTTCAAATCAAATAACATCAGTGATTGGCATAACACTCATGATGATAATGAAAGTATTTCATAAAGTATTATAATTTATTGTAATGCTATTAGAATTAGTACAATAGATACAATATTATATACCTGTTCTTTCCTAATTTTTTTATTTTATCATCTAATTTCGTGTTTGGTTTGCGTTTAATGTACTTGCTTAAGTCATTCCAAGGATCCTGATTGTGTTCAGCAGCAGTGAATTGAAAACTACCATCAAAATCTTTATTCTCATACTTCTTTTGCTTTCGTGGCTGATACTGACAAAATTCGAAAAAAATATTAGTACCAGCAAAGATAAAATAAAAAATATTTGTAAAATAAAAGACAACGAAGAGCATGTAATTAAATATCATTTCTTGATACAAATAGCATACAATAGAAAATATCATTTCAGCTTACGTCGTCTTCCTCGTCTGAATTCTCCGAATAATTCGGCACTTCTTCATCGTCCTCGATTGTCTTTAGTAAATCACAATTACTTGTCATGTTTTTCTTTCTAAAATAATAACTTTTTAATAATAAAAAATCTGAGAACACTCATGAATCGCTCGGCTAGTTTTTGAAGGTTATATCACACAACACGTGGACGCGCATATGATACACGAGAGCTGGGATTTTTTTTGCATATTTCGAGCCGATTATACTGCACCTCTTGCACTTAAAGCGAAATGAACACAGAATGAGAGAGCGCTGAAAAAAAGAAAGAGTAAAAAAGGCAAGTACAAGAAGTGCACCATGACGGTACTACTCCGGATTAAAATGCACTGCAATCGAAAACTATATGATTGGCGACAATGTGCGCGTCATATTTCAGATGGCGTTTGTATATCGTATAAATTGGCGGGAAACGAGTTAACCTGTCGGAAAATATTTGCTATTTGACACATTATAGGTTTCCTATTCGATAAACATTTCGTCAACATGGGTATTTTAGGCTTGTCGAAACTAATAGCCGATATAGCTCCGGGAGCTATTAAAGAGCGAGAATTGAAGCACTATTTTGGTACGTAGTTTCCCTTTCGACTTAATTTTATTTAACCAAGAATTGTGATCGAGATTTTTATATCCCAATGGTAGAATTTTATATAATTCATAATTTGCGTCCTTGGTTGATCATGTTATGAATCATTATCGATTATATCGTAATCATCTAATCATCTTTATCCTTGTATTTCAGGTCGCAAGATAGCAATCGATGCATCCATGTGTTTATATCAGTTTCTTATCGCTGTGCGCAGTGAAGGAGCCCAGCTCACTAGTGCAGATGGTGAAACGACCAGGTATAGTTTTTAATTGTCTAAAGAAATTTTTATTATAAATTATAATTTCCAATTTTTCATCAAGTAATACAAATGATTAAAATATTTTAAAAAATAATCTATATAAATGTTGTTACATAGTCATTTAATGGGTACATTTTATCGTACTATTCGCTTGGTGGAGCAAGGAATAAAGCCTGTGTATGTATTTGATGGAAAACCACCAAATCTGAAAAGTGGAGAATTAGCTAAAAGAGCCGAAAGGAGAGACGAGGCACAAAAACTCTTGCAAGCTGCTGAAGAAGATGGTAAAGACAAATTATATTTTTTATTGCTGCGATAATAACATAATTCATCATTTTTTTCATATAAATATGGCAAGAAATTTTAACATAAGTAAATATTTCTTATTATTAAAGGAAATGTGGAAGCTATTGACAAATTTAATAGAAGATTGGTTAAAGTTACAAAAACTCATGCTGACGAAGCTAAAGAATTACTTCAATTAATGGGCATACCTTACATTGATGTAAGCATTTGTATAGAATTTAGTTTCCTTATTCATTCTTACAATGAATATGTTCTCAGGCTCCTTGTGAGGCTGAGGCGCAGTGTACTGCTTTAGTGAAAGCTGGTAAAGTCTTTGCCACTGCTACAGAGGATATGGATGCACTCACTTTTGGCTGCAATGTGCTACTTCGTCGCTTGACCTTTAGTGAAGCTAGAAAATTGCCTGTACAGGAGATTCATTTTGATAAAGTTCTTGCAGGTTTGGAGTTGAATCATAATGAGGTATCCATTTAAAGTTTTAATTTTGTTTTTATTTAGTTTATCAATTATTTAAAATATATAATTTATAGTTTATCGACCTCTGTATTATGTTGGGTTGCGATTATACAAATAGCATTAAGGGCGTTGGTCCAAAAAGAGCAATAGAATTGATAAAGAAACATAGGTCCCTCGAAAAAATTATTGAAAATATAGATACTACGAAATATCCAATACCGGAAGATTGGAATTATAAAGATGCAAGATTATTGTTTCAAGAACCAGAAGTGTCGAAACCAGATGACATCCAGGTGAGCCTTCATATCGAATAATTTTTTTTTGTAAATATATTTGCAGAATATTAAATATTAATATTATTCTTTTATCTTACAAGTTGAAATGGTCTGAGCCTGATGAAGAAGGTTTGGTAAAGTTTCTATGCGGTGACAAGCAATTTAATGAGGAACGGGTTAGAAATGGAGCTAAAAAACTTCATAAAGCTCGTAATACTTCCACGCAGGGTCGATTGGACTCATTTTTCAAAGTTTTACCGAATTCGACTCCAACTCCAAAACGGAAGGTAAGATTTTTTCCGAATCATTTCAATATTTCCATTTTATATCTTTATATTAAATATTTTCTTTACATATTACATATTACAGGCAGAAGAAAAGAAGGCACCAGCTAAAAAGACAAAAACAACAGGTAACAGCAAATTTCGCGGTAAAACAAAGTGAGAGTATAAATTTGACAGATTTAATGTACTCATGTGAGGTATTATCCTGACTTTTTATTTCATTATGACATATATCGCGCATGTAATCTTATAAATTCATATATAAAAATTATTATCGTAGCTGATAGAGGTAACATAATTTATTTCATAAAATATATATAGCATTCATATACAATATATTTTTATAAATTTCATCATAGTGAGCACTTAACAATGTGTCTTAGTATATTTTTGTAAAAATGTACAAGCGTTATATCGTTTGAATGTATACATATAATTTATAATTTATTATCATTGTATATTTTCATCATATCTTTTATTTTTTACTAATATAACTTGGCAGGAATTTTAAAAAAGGATAAAGTATTTCTTTTTGTCTAACTTTGTTTGTTAATTATGTCAGTCTTTATTTTAGCACCAAATATGCTTCAACTATTTCTTATACTAGTTTGCAATGATGTAAATATTTATTAATAATACACGGCAGTGATCCGCCGAAATTATACAGTTATATACAAAAGATATAGTCACGATATAAATTGTTTTCAATATTGATGATACGTCATTGAAATGTTATAATCGTGCTACCAATAGAATTCGCATCTAATACATGAAGCAATGCTCGTTCGATGTTGTATGGCGCATACACTCTGTCTACAACGGTTTGCAATTGATTTGCATCAGTTAGCTCGCATAACGCTCGCAAATATGCAACTTTCAATTTTGCCCCCTCCTTCCATTGGTGCATATTAAATCCGAATATATACTATAATTCAAAACGCCAGTCAGTAAAAAAAATCACAATATTCTTACTAAATCAAAACATACCTGAACCAATAATTTTATTCTAACACATCCAGCAAATATACTTCCACAAATAAATCCCAGCGAATCCGATGTCAATCGTTCGGGTACAGTTGATACATAGGAGCCATAAGGCAACAAGTGTTTCTTTAAAATATGTTCTTGAAAAGGTTGATTATCAGTATAAAAAATCGCATCGTATCTGTAATGAAGGAAGAATTCGATGTAGTTGAAAGATATATCTATATATTTTTCTATTATTAAAATATGATAAATTTAAATATAATACAAATCTTGTGCTGAGAATTTTGTCGTACTTATCATGCATTTGTAGTTCCTTCTCGACATCGATTTCATTTATTATTATAATTTCGTCGGCACCTAATGCCTTCATTACGGGTACTGCATTTGTTCGACACGCAGTCACCACATATCCGCCCCACAACTTAACTAATTGCATCAAAATACAACCAATTGGAGTGTTTCCACCGAAAATAAGAACTCTATAACGATATTATTATAGCAATTAATATTTTTCAGACATATAGAACCAGGAAAGTGTCAAGAACAATACCGTTTCCTTTGGCATTGCCTTCCTTGATGACAGATCTATTAACTAAAGCATCCCATGCCAGGCAACCATTATATGGTAGACTGGCAGAGGCTTCGAAATTACACGATTTAGGCCGTCTTGCTACTTGCGTTTCTGGAACAATTATATATTCCGCCATTGTGCCAGAAGCCCACGATGGAACAGCTAGGAATACCTCATCTCCGATATCGAAATTAACAACACTCTGTCCAATGTCGATTATCACTCCCGCACAATCCCTTCCTAAAGTTATAGGTAGTTCTTTCTGTTTCTAAATACATTTGTGCATTACAGTGATATTGTATTCTGTCTATTACCAGTCGTATCAGTGAAATCTATGGAAAATTTACTTACTCCTGAGTTAAGTAACCTTCTATAAATCTTAGAATAACCTGAGCATATCTTTGTATCGATAACATTAAGCGAAGCGGCTTTAACTTGTATAAGTAATTCGTTCGATTTTTTGATCGTTGGCATTTCGAAATCGTCTATCATTAACACACCCTATAGCAACAGTAAAATGTGTAATCTCTGTACCTCTGTACCTACATCTATAATCTATATATAGAATATGTTGAACATACCTCGATACCATAATAATGATGGCATGTTATAGCTTTTATATGATGTACATGTCGAGAGATAGGTTTCCAATTTGCACCAATATAATAACCCGTTACAGTTCCAATCATTACGCCTGTCAAGCAAAATATCGCTTCTCTCTTTGAAACTGGATGTATACAAACTTAATAAAAGTTAACTTCAGAGTTAAAGAGACACAGTTAAAACATTTTTAAATATTTAATATACCTTTATTAATAAATGATGTTCCTAATTGGCGATAAAAATTTATTGTATTCCATTGGGTATTATAATACTGAAACTGGACCTCTTGCCACCCTCTTTGTATTGAAGCAGCAATTTGCAGTACAACATCTTTGACATGTTGAACATGTTGCTCCTCGCACAGTTGCAGGATTAATTGATGCAACTGAGCTAGCCATGTCATACACCATTGTTGTCCTTGCTGTGCTGCTACCAATGCTTGAACCTATCCCCCAAATTTTTTTGTGTAGCATATTAAAATTTCTATAAATAATTACATTCAAGTAATAAACACATAACATTAAATTGATAGCAAAATCAATGCATAGAAACAATATATATATATATATATATATATATATATATATATATATAT